CCACGTCCGCCTTGACGTGCGCAACACCATGCTTGATGTTGACCGTCACTTCTGGCGTCGACAACGGTGCCTTGATGACGTGTGGCACCTCTTGGGCCACTACGACGCTTTGCTGCATTGAGGGCGGCGCCCGAGCCACGAACGGCGTTTTGCTCGCCGGCACGTGGACAACCGCCAGGTTGGCCGTTGGCGCCACTGGGCGAGGCTCATCTGCACATACAAAATTTTTATTAAAATTGGTGAAGGAAAAGTTTCTTGTTTTGGTGTTGGTCAGGTGTTGGATATGTGTTATGATGTTATGTGTGTGAGTTGTGTTTTTGAAATGTTTTATGGCTGTGTGGAAAAGCTGAAACAACTCACCAACCACCGGCGGAACTGCCGCCGTCGAGATCTCCGGTTCGGGGGGCACGACCTCCTCGCACCACCTCCACGGCGTCACCACTCGGTCCATCTTGGACCGACGTCCGATGCAGACCGTCGGCGACAGCAGCTTCACCTCCTACAAACAGGACTGGCTGTCATACACGTCACTTGTTCCATTTTTTCTCAAACACTCACCTTGAGGTCTGCCTGCCTGACGCAGTCCAAGAACAGCGTCGCTCCGACAAACGTCACGCGGCGCCCGTAGCCGCCGGCGCCCCTCACCTCCTCGCCGCAGACGTCCCGACACACGAAGGCCCTGTCTTCTGGACCGCAGTCCGCCCCAGCAGCCGCAACACCAACGACCAGCAACACCAGCATCCTCAGGAACTCCATCTGTGAAAATTTCGAAAAAATTGTTATTTCTGAAAAGAAATTTTTTTTTTTGCACTCACTTTTCACTTGCTGAATTTTCTTCTTGATGAAGTTGAAGATCCCTAGTAACACAAAGTCACTCAGCAGCCGAACGATTGGCAAAACAATGTTTGGGGCCACCAGCTCCAGGAGACCCATCAACTTTTGTCAACTCCTGGAGACAGGAAGTCGTTAACGACGCATCCGCGTCCGAGACAAAAATCGAAAAGTTACAATCGAAAAAATTTGAAAAAAATACACTAAGCTAACAATGCTCACCAAAGTCAACCGCCAAAATTTCAGGCTCAACGGATCATCCGTTAACGAATGGCACTCGATGCCAACTGAAGAAGACATCTCCATTCTTCTTGATCCAAACATCTGTTGGATCCATGCCTGATTCCTCCTGATGGATAGCAATAACAATTGCCATTTCCATAAAAGCCTTTATGGCTCCTGAAAGAAACAGCAACAGAAAATAGGGCACTGTCTCACTGAGTCTCGCACTTGGTTCACTTGTGTTTCCCTTTTTCTGCTGACTTTCACAAAAAGGATGGAACCTTTTTTTCTATTGTGTGGGGTGAGTTTGTTATCTTAGAAATACACTAACTTACAGAATACCCTTTTTGGTAGTTTCAGAAGAAACCATTTAGAAAGCCTAGAAACGGAAATTGTGGAAGCATAGATAATTGCTTCCTCTTCCTTTATTAGAAGTCTTGACAACTTCTCATGATTAGTCACAATAGCCTTCGATAAGGTAATTATGGTACAATCAATCCTGGAACCCTGGTGAGCTCAACTCTTTGTGAAATCCGAGTGATATTCAGTTCTCTTGTTCATGTGGCGCATGGTCGTTATTACTGAAGTGTAACCAGCGCAATCATATTTCACTCAGAGTGATTTCCACATTGTTCCTTTCACGGATTGGGATTTCCGCTATTAAGGTCGTGATGATTATTTCCTTTGTTCCCCCCATCTAGGCTGGCTAGGCTTAAATACCCCTGCTTGGTGAAACCAAAAGAGTGATCTCATCCAAGCTTCATACAGTAAACTCCATAGCCAAAGCTCTGTTAAAGCTCAAACCTATTTCGAAGTAAAGTACAAGCTGGACTTGTGCGTTTGTGTATTTGTATTGTTGTATTGAATGTTTGTATGTGGATGAGAATATTGTATAAAGAATATTGATCCAGAATAAGAACTTGGTTCTTTTATTCTTGACTCAGTCCTGTAATAGAAAGGACAACAAAATTGGNGAGATTAACGGGAGGATGAGTTTGGCGCCAGCCAAACTCATCCTCCGATTCTAATAAATTTTGCGACAAAAGGGATGAATTTTCTTTCTAGAGATCATTCTATACTCAACAGCTCACTGGGGCTGGGACCTGCTCTGGTCAATCTGTCAATCATTCCTGCCCTAACACCTCAGCATGGGCATAGGATTATATGTATGCCTTAATTTCTCTGATTTTGGCCTATTTTCAATCCAGGACAGGAATTTTTTGTGGCAGTGAGGGTTACACTGAAAAACAAAATGGAGGGAAATTTGTTCCAGGGAGATGTGTGGCATTATATGTCAAGGATTGTTGGCACTAAATTGAGGGTTGACTGTACTTGAGTGAATTTATAAGCTTTTTGCAGGATAATCTTGGTGTATATTCAAGTACAGTTAATTTTTTTATTAGGTGTGTTCCCCAAAAAAATTCACTGGACGAAAATGTTTGGTGGCATATTGGAATTTGACAATATTTTTAAACATTTTTCTCCTCTACTCCATGATTTATTTTTCAGAATTCTATAAAGGTTAAAACAAAGGAAATTCTGGTAGTTTCTCATGCTGCCAGTGTTTCAATATGAATGGAAAAAAGTATGAGTAAAATTGAATTATAATTCTTTGAGATAAATTTGTAAGATTGTGCTTACACTTGTGATTTCAATTGTGACAAAAATTTAAAATTCCATTGCAATTTTGATTGTGCACAAATTTAAATATGTGGCAAGAATTTTGATTTAGATTGTGTGAAAAGTTTTGTAACAAATAGCAATTTCGATTGTGCAAGTGAAATTTGAATTGCGATTAACAACCCTGCACTTGCGATTTTTGCCACCACATTCCACAGCACTTTTTCACAAGCGCTGGCAGTTGCTTAGAGTGGTAACTGTTTGTTGGCTTTGTAAACTTCAAATTTTGAATAAGGCACTTGAAGTTTTTGCTCTTACAGTTAACACCACTCACTCAGGGTAAAAAAAAAGAAAAATGGCTGCACCAATTTTGTTATCCCAAACTGTTTGATGTAAATAAAATCTTAAGAACTACATGTGAACATCCTCTATGTGTTTTAGTCCCTTTAACTCTTATCCAATGATTACTGTTGAGATAAGCTCTTGTTGAGAAGTATTAATCTTATGGCCAGAGTAAAGCAAATGAAACAACTTCTCTTAGTCCCAAATACATATATTTCAGATCATGCACAACAACAGTCCAGACCAGCAATGAGCAAAGAAAGGAGTGTTCAGAAGCTCATTTATAGACAGTGGATGCACAAAACAGGTGACTGGCCATGCATGAATAAGAATGAACAGGAAGTAAACCAAGTCATGTGAATGACCAGTCACAAGACAATGTTGCAACATTCCAGTATGTTGACTTGGGTGCATCACTAGGCAGAACTTCAATGCATGAAACTCAGTTTGAGAATGGGATATTATTACATTGTTTGAGGACTCATTATTATTTTGATGACACATATGACTAACTTAGCTGGATTATTTCTTTAGGTGGTATTTTAGGTTCTCTGAATGACTTTCAGAGGAGGCATGAGCCCTTGGATTTCTGAAAATAAAAAGGGTAAAGATTTTAAAAGTGAATACCTTGACATCCCTTGCAAGTGAATTCAAACAAAAGGGTACCCTTACTGTCCTTCTAAGGAATTAGCATACATTCAAACTCCCTCCAGATCAGGAACAATCTGATGCAAAGAATACAAGTATTTACTCAAGTACCACTCACCCTCAAGTATGATGCACCTCCCAATTTGTCTACTGGAGTTTTGTTCAAAAACCTATATCCCTTCGGAAGATACATGCTTTGTTTTTTTGTTTTTTGCTGGAAATCAAACAATGTGACTTCTTTTTATTTTTCATTTATTTCTTACTCATTCATATTTTTTCTGTCTTGTGCAATCAACCGAAGCAGTTAAAATGCATTTGCAATATGGGACAGCCAGCTTCCTCAATCAGATGAATATTCCCCCCTTCCTTTACTTCCTGTTGAATCTACAAGAGATAAATTGAGCCATTATTCACCATGTACGAAAAGACTTGGTGTCACTACTTTCCTCTTCATATGTTTTCCACTTACGGGTGAGTGGCAGGGAGCATGGGTTTTATGTAATTTTCCCCTGAAATTTATCCACAAGTGCCAAACGCACCCCATTTTTTTGCCTCAATTACTATAAAACAGGCGTGTGTGGCACTTGGGTGAATACAGTTAATGCAAAAACAATATAAAAAATGTTGTCCCTTCTATTACAGGACTGTGAGTTGAGAATAAAAGAACCAAGTTCTTATTCTGGATTAATATCCTTTATACAATATTCTCATCCACATACAAACATTCAATACAACAAATACAAATGCACAAACACACACAAGTCCAGCTTGCCTTTATCTTCAAATGGGTTTGAGCTTTAACAGAGTTTTGACTATGGAGTTTACTGTATGAAGCTTGGATGAGATCTCTCTTGAGATTTCACCAAGCAGGGGTATTTAAACCTAGCCAGCCTAGATGGGGGAAACAAAGGAAACAATCATTGCAACACTAATAGCAGAAATCCAGATCCATGAAATGAACAAAGTTGAAATTGCTCTGAGTGAAATATAATTGTGCTGGTTACACATCAGTGATAATGACCAGGCGCAATGAGAGCAAGAGAAACAAATATCACTCCCATTTTGTAAAGAGTTGAGCCCACCACGGTTTCAGGATTGATTGTACTTTAATTACCTGAGGAAGGTTATTGTAACTAGTCATGAGAAGTTGTAAAGACTTCTCATCAAGGAAATTGCAGTAATCATATTTGCTTTAGCAATTTCCCGTTTCTAGGCTTTCTAAAAGGTTTCTTCTGAAACTACCAAAAAGGAGTTACTGTAACTTGTCATGAGAAGTTGTAAAGACTTCTCATCAAGGAAATTGCAGCGATTATATTTGCTTTAGCAATTTCCCGTTTCTAGGCTTTCTAAAAGGTTTCTTCTGAAACTACCAAAAAGGGTCTTCTGTAAATTACTGTATTTCTAAGATAACAAAAAGGTTTTAAATAGTTTGTTGCTATCCCAGTTGTGGCTTTTCGAGTTGTCCCTTGACCAGCTGTCATTTATTTACAAAATTCTTGTAACATAAATTGCAGCTTGTGCTGATGACTTCTGTTCCAAGTTTTTTCCAGTGTTCATGCATTGTTGAATATTAAGTTTTAATATGATGAATCATATGCAATCATGAAAATTTCTCAGATAATCTTCTGCTTTCTATTGAAATTTTCATTGGAAAATGTATATGTTGTTGACTTGCCACCTAGTCTTAGTCTCTACTATGGAAAATTTCCTCAACTTAGAAACCAAAATTCCATTGAAAACTGTGAATAGAGGAATCACCCCGCATGATAAAACTGTACAAGCAATTTATTTTTACATTGATATGCAGCTCATTCATTGCTTTTTGTATATACTACTATTTTCAAGTCTGTGCTTTGAATAAGTACAGTTGAATTGGTCATTGTTTTAAATGATCTTCTCTGGCAACCAGTCTTTGTTGTGTTCTTTGTGATGTGAGAGTTGGCTTTCTGCTCTGAAGTCATTGACTCTATTAGAAACCCAGTCTCTTACAAAGACAGATGTGAATTTTCCCTTCACTCATAAGGCGTTAGTTTATATTATAAATCTAATTCAGATTTATTATTGCAGCACAACAGTTACCAGATCACCTGCAGTTTCTGGGTTCCATACATAACAAATGTGTTGCATATAAGGGAGCTGCTTTGCTTTGTTTCCTATTCAGAACATAGAAAGATGCATCCTACAAAGGATTTCCAAAGAATATTTTATATATGCTGTAATTGAGAGATGGGGAAAATAAATGTACCTTTGAAAACTGACTGCTGGATATA